AGAGCAGGGGGAGGGGCGGCCGGGAGACCTTAACCCTTCCGACCCCGGCCGGACCAGTCTCCCGGAAGGGGCACCTGCTGGCCCCAGGCCGGGCCGTGGGAGCTCGGCGCTACTGTACCTCTCCGCTCTACTAGGTCGTGCCTTCGGATCCCTAGCCGGACCTCTCGCATGCCTTCGGGCTGCGCCGGCCCCCAGTACCCGCCCTGAAGCTCCTCCCTTTGTTTCCCTAACTTCTGACAAGTTGGGGCACCTGGCGCGGCACCTGGAGCCTCCTGGTTGCCCCATCCTGCAACTCTCCTCCTCCCCTGATGGTGTTTCTACCAACAGTGAGTGGCCATGTGGAGGCCCAGAAGGTGATCCTTTGCTTCCTCAAATGCCAGCCCAGATTTAGCCCTACCTGCCCCTGTTGGGCTTAAAAATCATCTCCGATAGGGAAACAGGAAAGGAGCAACCCCTCTCCAAGGATGCTCATGGCCCTGTGGGTGCCAGTCAGGTGGGCTCCTTGGGAAGCTGAGACTCCTGGTTATACAGCTATTAAGCCAGCTGTGCCTCGAGCACCTGAGTTTCTGAGCTCTGTGGAGTCCAACTGCTCTACCAGGCTCTGAATCCATGCTAAGGCCACATTCCCTGCCCTTCTGGGAAGTTGGAGGACACTGCAAATACCGTAGGTCCTAGAGGCTGAAGCTCTAGACAGCAAGATAGCGTCCGGCCGTCCCCCGCCCCGTTTCTGCCTTCGGGAGGCTTCAGCCACAGGGTCTCCTCCCTAGGGTTCCTAGCCAACCTAGTCTCAAGGGAAGCCCCGAGGGGGTGGGGGTGGGGCCCAGCTGCCGAGTTGGCAGCTCCCCTGTTCTCTAAGCCAGGCGGGCTAAGCCATCATCCCACACGGGCCTTCTGGACTGTCCCAGAGGTCCGCGTGAGTCGGTGGGGCACTGGCCAGCCCGTCTTGGCGGGGGTCCTGACCAGCAGCTGTTACAGGAAGGTTGCACCATCATCTCATCTTCCTGGCTGTCCCCAGCCTCCTACAAATCTCAAACCCCCAAGGGGCTGGGCGGCCCCTTTTCTCAGAGTCGGAAATGGGCGGTGAGGACCAGCCCGGACAAGCCGCCCTCCCTCCCTCCACTTTCCCTCCCCGGAATTCCTCTATAACCTCACTATTAGTTTTCCACCTGGGGGAGGGAGAGGTAGCGGCTCCCTTTTGCAGAGGCTTGTTGTGGGGGCGGGGCTGGCTCCCGGGAGGGCGAGAGACCGGGAGGAATCCGGAATCCGGCTCCAGAGCTGATTTATGATTCCCTGCGAGGCACTACTGGGACTGTAGAGCAGGTTCCCAGATGGCTGGCCCCACCCTGCTTCTGCGAGGAGGTTCTCCCCAGCATGCCGGTCAGGCAGCGTGCTCTGGCCTCAGACCCCCTTGACATCTGGGAGTCCTGACCGCCTGAGGCTAAGATCCCCCACTGTAGGGTCAGGCGGAGGGTTTCTGGGGTCTGCTGATTCATGAGAATCTCTTGAGGGTTCAGGGGGCAAAGGTTGTGCCTAGAGCCCTCTGAGCCCCCTAGTGGCCAGGCCAGGTGGACTGGGGATTGGTCCCAGAGGAATGGCCAGGAGGAGGGAGGGGTGGCTGCCTGAGAATGTGCTGAGTCAGCCGGGCCAGCTGGCACCGAGAGGGTTAATCCCAAGCTAGCTGCTTCCCGGCAGACAGCTGCCCCAAGAGCAACTGGTGGCTGGCAGGGGCGGGTGAAGTGGGCAAAGAACAGTGTGGCACAGGACTGGTGAGGTGTCCACACTTTGCCCCCGCTCTGTGCCCGCCTGTGTGCCTGGGTTGAGGAGAGGGCACTTGAATGTGGATTTGGGGAGTGGACCAGGAGGGGATATCCCCGCCTGGGCAGGGAGGCAGGGTGTTCTCTGCCGCTCCACCCCAACTCTCACCCTCATGCCCCACCCCCTGGTGACCAGGTCTGGTTCCAGTCATCAGCACAGTGAACCAGTGTCTGTCTGTGTCTTCCTCTGAGTTATTCGCAACTCTCCACCTTCCTTACTTTGGATGGAGAAACTGAGGCCACAACGCTGGTGGCTGTCAACAGCCCAGTTCTGAAGAGACAGGGATCTGGTCAGTTACTTCTGTTCTTTTCATACCTTGTATTGGGGGAACCTCTTGGGTACCAGGCCTCAAAGTCAACCCTTTACTGTTGACAATTCACGCAGGACCAGAAGGTTTTGTCCTGAACCTACAGAGAGGGTGCCCAGTCTGGGGTGATGTGAGGAGTAAGTTGGCCAAGAGAAGGGTCATGGAGGCAGCCCTTTTTCTGTCCTACCAGAGTCTACTGCCCTCCCAAAGGACAGCCCAAGATCTGGATCAGTTCCTTCCTAGCCTCAGGATCATGGGAGGAGAGAAGCTATGGCAGATGCTTTCCCACTCCAGCACCCCAGGAATGCCCTCAGGCACTTGTGCCACCCACTTGGAGGCAGCTGTTGGAAACTAGACAGGACACTGGTTATCTGACTCAGCCCTAGGAAGTCTACCTTGGAGGCCTCTGGGGGGCCAACAGGGGACAGGGGGTACCTCTCACTCATCAGCCATGTCATTAGACATCACAAGCAACAGCAGAAAAATCCCAGTCCAAAGCCTTCAGGTGGCTGCCATACCCTCACAGGGACTGGGTTCTGGCTATTGTCTGCCTGAACCAGCCAGAAAGAGGCTCCAGGTCTGGGACCCAGGATGCCTATCTCCCTAGGGAGAGCCACTGTGGAGATGACACTCCCTTTACCGGGGCTCAACAAGGTCCTTCCAAGGAGCCAATGGGGGAACCTCTGTCTCTGTCCATGGCAGGCAGCCAGGAGCCAGTGGCAGGGCTGATTCTGATGGCTGCTGTCAGCAGGGTCCAGCTCTGTCCTTCATGGACTCAGACTAACCAGATACCAGAAGGAATAACAGTCCTGAGAAGCTGGCATGAGGGTGTTATAAACCCAGCATTACAGGGATAGCATCAGCCTCTGTTGGCCACCGCTTGGCAGAACAGCACACCATGTCCTGTCCCTCAGTCAGCACTGCCCACTGTGAGAGACAGCCTGAGGATCTTGGTAGGCAGGAAGTCAGTAGGGAGGGCAGACCGCAGAGACCCTCCTCCAGGCTGGGAGCACCCTGTTACCACAGGCAGCTGTTCATCCTAACTTCCCAAGGATCTCGTGGCTCCTGCCTTCACGAGGGTGGAACAGAAGGCAACTGGGCATCTCTGGCTTGAAAGGGGCTCTGGAACAGCCCCTGGCTGCACTGAAAAGAGGGGCTTCTCTCTCCTATTGTTTTAACATGCCCCCACCCCCACCGGGATCCTGATAGTTACGAAGACTAGCTAGGAACAAAGCACTTTGACAGGCAAGCTGCCTGGTGGGGGGCCCTGCTCCTACAGCCTCCAACTCTGGGATCCTCCTATCCCTGCTGTTCATATCCAGCTCACAAGCTGCGAAGGCAGGTTCACAGGCTGGGGTACCATGCACAGACAGTATTACTGTCTCATTTTCACAGGAGGAACTGGGCATCCTGTAAAAGACCCATCCCCTCTATGGGCTCTGGGACCTGCCCAGCACCCTCTGTGCCCACTGCAGGCCTAATCCAAAGCATTCACTGCTCTAAGAGTAGAGGCCTGATAGGTGGGGTGATAGAGCAGGTGAGTGGTGCCTCAGCCTTCAGGCTTGTTACAGCAGTCTTCAAAGTTTCTCTCCTCACCCAGCTCTTCTGGGTGGGATGAAGGGGTGATCTCAGCTTGGTACCCTGGAGAGATGCAGCCCTAGAATAAGTAACTACACAAGCCTGGGGCGCTCAGCCAACGGGGAGGAGCCTCCACGCAGTGGTCTGTGTGATGACTGAGAATTCAGGGTCCAGCTTAGATACCACCCCAGCCTTAGGGCATTTATCTAAGTATGGGAATTCCCAGCACCAGCAGCTGATATCTGAGTACCTGTTGGATGCTGACTGTTGGATAGAGTCTCACTGGCCTCTCCTGTGGTTTGTCAGCTCGATCTATCTCCATCAAGTCTGAGCTAACCTGTCTGCCGTGCTAGCCAGCTGCAGACAGGAGGGAGCACGAGCCCAGTGAGGAACGGACCAGCTCCTAGGGTTCCCTCAAGGAGTTTAGAGGAAGATCTGGGTCCCCAGGGAAACCTCAAATTGCTGCACCCAAATTCCTTTCCTGTCTATCCTGTCGCTTCCCAGAGCTGGAAGGAGGGTCCTCTACAGAAACAGTCCTGCCAGAGTGGGGTACAGATAGACATCCCTGCATGTAGGTGATACATTGCCTCTACCTGTCAGCTCATAAGAGGCCCCTTTCTGGCCCCTCAGCCCTTGACCTATGCAAATTTCAGATCCCTCCAGGCCCATCAGCCACATGCAAGAGAACAGTGTAAGAGGCCTGGGAAACCTAGAGATCAACAAAGATAAGGGCCTGTCCTTCCACTGATAAGCCTGCTCCTAGGAATGACCAGGAAATGATCAGGTTGAGGACCCAAAAGGACACCTCCTAGCACCTCTGAGATGTAAGGTTGGGGATCCATTCTCCTTCCCCACTCTATCCTCACCACCTCCCAGATAGGGACCCTAGAGAGCCAGAATCTTTGGGGAAAAGAGGAAGAGGGAGCTCTTGATACAACCAGAGACTGGTAGCACCCAGGGACCCTGCACCCAGCTGGAGGCTGCCCTGCCCTCCCCCCAATCACCAATGCTCCAACAGGCCCCTC